CTCTGTTCTTGTTTGATAATTTTAAACTTGGGAATTCGAACAGAGTTTTTTTGCGCAAAACATCTGGTCTCATTGATTGTGGAACGGGTTGTTGTCGATGAGACTTTTTTATTGATCAGATCGGTCGACGAGTCCACGGCCCATTTAGTGAGGCTCAGGGACATCAACAACGTAAATGTTGCTTGAGACCTCAGTTTTAAGTGTTATTTTTACAGTACAACAGCTATGTCATCCTTCAAACCGAAACGAATATTTGATTCGCAGCAGAAATAGGTACACCTACCCGTGCTGGTAATAAAACCAGACGTATTTCTGTTTTAAAGTTATTTATTGTATTGTAAATCCGTGCAGGTGGATATCGCTAAACTTATTTCTGCGAAGCTTTCGTACGTTTCTCTCTAATAGGTGGTAGGTTGTACAGCTGTACCATAATCGTAAGCTTTTCTAGCCGAGCTTTATTTACTTTGTGATTTCTGTCGACTCCGTTAACTGTTTAACACCAGCCAAACTAACTGTCAATGTAACGAATACAAACACGCTAGTAATTCTATGTTTAGTTATTCTTTATTGTTTTAATTGTTTTTAATGTACGTGGTACCATTATCCAAAGTACTAAAGAGAATCGTAAATGGGGCGAGAAGTAATTAAAGGCATTATTGAAACAAGCTCTCCTTTTATGTCTTTAGATTTGGTGACTTGCTGATACTTTTCCGGTCATCGTTCTCGTCGAACCCGTCGCTTGCGACGAGTAAATGAGCCCTCAGACACAGCCCACTGAGTTTCTCGCCGGATCATCTCAGTGGGTCGCGTTTCTGATCCGGCGGTAGATTCTGCGAAGCACAGCTCTTGCTAGGGTTCGTGTTAGCCCCGCTTTCGCGGAGCAGGGCCGCGTCCTCGTTTCAAAAATAGGACCGAACTTGTCGCTTCCGACCGTCGTGGCTACGATGCTCGGCAGCGACGAGACTTGGCAGGCGATGCTCAACTTCTGCGAGTCCACCATCTCGCAAAATGAGGCGGCGGAACGGGAGAGGGAGAGCTCTTCTTCCCTCTCGGCGCCGTGCCGCCGCCGTCGAGCCGGGGGTCGGAGGAGGGCGTTTGTCCAGCTCCGGCCCCTATGAGGAGGCAGTCTCCTCCCGGTGATGGTCACGGGGTGACCTAAGGGGGTTGAGGCTGCGCCGCACGCTACCGTCACTCTAGCGCGCTGGCACCAGGAGGACGATACAGCGCGTCGGCGGCTGCGGACTGGGATGCGGTCCGCATTTTCGTCGTCGCTGACGTCACCGAACATACTGTTGAAGAGCAGCCCGGTCGGCGGTGTATCGCGTTCCGACCCGGCAGGCTAGTTCTGGCCCAGCGGGGTATCCCGGAACACCAGCAGCGCCGCCCAGGCGGCCTATCAGGGCCGCCGTACCGCGGAGCCCGACGTCGTTGGTCGTCGACTATCGCCTCGACGACCCATCGGTCGGGCGTCTTCGGGGTGGCGCCGCGTGTCTGGTTGTAGTGTTGACCGCGGGAAAACCCCTACTCTGACCGGGTTCTGACCCCGGACGGAGATCGGACGTTGGGTGTAAGAGTGCAGGGGAGTCGTTTAGTGGGTGGGCCCTAAAATCCTTGAGCCCGCGATCTGCTCTCAACACCTGCAGATCGTTGAGTCTCACATACCCCGCGCGCCCCCAAGGCGCGGGGACCTCGTAGGAGGTTCGGCCCCCGGCCCGAAAAATAAATAAAAAAGCGTTCGTGTTAGCAACGTCAGGTTTGAGCCCCGTGAGCTCAACTACTAGTTAAGGTTACGCTGAAATAGCCTCTCAAGGCTATCAGCTTTGGGAGTGAAAAAGAAAAAAAAGCTTACATATTCCCCAGAATAGATGTCTATGGGTTAAGACTATTAAATTCTGCCAAAACGATATTTTTTATTTCAAATTATGTTGTTCAGTTAAATTAGTGTAATATAAAATTTAATTATGCTACTCGTATTCAAGGTTGTGATGCACAAAAAACTTGAGGAGCCCCGAACGAGTTTTCGATTTCGATGTTCACAAGTTTTAAAAGTCATGTCGTGTTTTTTGTTTTGTATTTTACTTCTAGAATGCTTTAATATTTCAATTTGTTATACGTAGAATCAAACAAACCCACTCTTTCGATCCGTCATTCTTCAAACCTGGCCTAAAATACTATTAAGCGCTAGGCAATGTCTCAATTATGTTCATTGTATCATTGATATTACTAATGTGTATGAGTGTCGATGACCAGTTTTCTATAACGATAAAAATAGTTTTTCGTTTCACAATGTACATCGCAATCTCTCGATCCTTAGTATGAAGGGGCATACATTTTCACAATTTAATACGATCTACCTCGAGACTTGACTTATGGCTCGGTCTTCTTGGACTAATGGATAAGACGCCCGATCTATTCAGATCAAGGGATCCGATCTTCAAGTCGCGAAGACAGCTTAAAATGTTTCTAAGGAACTGGTACTAAAGAGAATACATTATTATAGAAAATGTATACATACAATAAACAGATATATACCGTTTATATAATATGAAATATATAGCTAACTGATTTCTATACATACATTTACATACAATACATATTAATATACTTACATACACATAATAAATCGACAGTACGGAAATGATAAATGATAATGATAATGATGCAAACAAACAGCACTAAGCAGATAAGTAGTATTCCTTCACCATTATTTTGAAACAGTTTAAAGTTTGAGCACTTCTCACTGCATCTGGTAGAGCATTCCACAATCGAACCGCCTGGACGGTAAATGAATTATCAGAGAATGATGATGAATACAATATATGTTTACAATGTTATCAACATTTTTTATTTATTTACCTTGTACCTTGCAGACGAGCATACGGCCCACCTGATGGTGAGTGGTTACCGTCGCCCATGGACCTCAGCAATGCCAGGGACAGAGCCAGGCCGCTGCCTACAACAAAATGAGTTTTCATTCAAATATGAGTTAAATGTGGCTCATTACTGGTGGTAGGACCTCTTGTGAGTCCGCGCGGGTGGGTACCACCACCCTGCCTATTTCTGCCGTGAAGCAGTAATGCGTTTCGGTTTGAAGGGTGGGGCAGCCGTTGTAACTATACTTGAGACCTTAGAGCTTGTATCTCAAGGTGGGTGGCGCATTTATGTTGTGGATGTCTATGGGCTCCAGTAACCACTTAACACCAGGTGGGCTGTGAGCTCGTCCACCCATCTAAGCAATAAAAAAAATATAAAAAAAGTGAAGAGAAGAAACTGGGTCCGACCGGGAATCGATCTCAGACTGAATGAACCTTAGTATTAGAATGTAAGAAGTTAAGCGCTTTCAAACAAATATCTCTGTGACATCCTTATAGATAACCGATAACATCTTTATCAACCTCTTATCAGTAGACTATGATAATAGACTTTGATAGTAAACAAACAACTACTATCTATTTCACATTCTTAGCCACTTCAAACGCAAGAAAGCGAAGGTTCTCAATTCGTACGCTGTGAGATATTTATTTTACAGTTTGTCTAATTCAAAGTTCTTTACTGTATTTATTTTACATTACCCGATCTATATATATTTATGAGAGATAATGTTTTTTTATGATTGAAGGATTACTGGTGGCCCGGAGGCTTTTCCAGTTTCAACAGGACGGGTGGGCGAGCAAAGGCTCAGCCAGGAGGGGTGGGATTTGCTAACAGCTGCCCGAGCGCCTCCGAAGGAGACCTAACAACTCAAGAGCAATTGCTTCGCGAATGAATCTACTACCGGATCGGAATCCCGACCCGCTGAGAAGATCCGGTGAGAAACTCAGCGAGCTGATGCACGGGTTAGGTTGCACGTCGACCTCTTTGCCTAGTTCGACGAGTATGGCACCGGGGTCCCTAAGCCGGCTCCTAGTGCTAGAGCTGAAGGCATTATTGGATCTGATAGATCCGTAGGGCGTCGACGGTGACTTGCTCCTGCGTGATCAGGGTTCGGGGAGTAGTCAGCGGCGGCAACGATAAGACGATTATCATGACGGATAGCCTTATCGAAGTAGAGAGATAATGTATGTGTGTCTGTGTGTTCACCTCAATTATCTTACGCAGTTAGCCTTCTGAATCATTTTGTAGCTTTAATGCTTTAATATAAAATCTCATTTGTTGTGGGTAAAGCCGCGGGTGCAGCTAGTTGTCCTGTAATTTATTTATCAATAATATCTAAATATATGGAAACAAGATCTTTTTTGTTTGTTATAACGCTATAGTGCTATAATAACAAATATCACCTGAACAGGAAAACATACCAATAATAAAATTAGGAAGGAAACATTAAATCAATATAAATCTTGAGGCGTATGTAATTAAGGTCTAATTTCAACTAATAGGACAACACCAATCATATTAAATTAGTGGAACTATGAGATACAATAAACCTTAATTAACGTAAATCACGCATTGGAACTTTGAATATAGGTACATAGTATAGTTTTGTTGAAGCCATTACTGTAATACTTTTACTGGTGGCAGGACCTCTTGTGAGTCCGCGCGGGTAGGTACCACCGCCTTACCTATTTCTGCCGTGAAGCAGTAATGCGTTTCGGTTTGAAGGGTGGGCCAGCCGTTGTAACTATACTGAGAACTTAGAACTTATATCTAATATGGGCTCCAGTAACCACTTAACAGGTGGGCTGTGAGCTCGTCCATTCATATAAGCAATAAAAAATAATAATAATAAAAACTTTATTACATTGAAAGCTTATAGTTACAATAGCGGACCTAACACATCTTATATCTGAAAATTACAAACTTTTTTAAATACATTATAACAATCTGGACGGACACATGAATATTATAAGATAAATAGTAACAGCATTTTTCATGAATCAGTGGATTAAAACATTATAAACGCGAATTACTTGAAACGCAGTTTTGATAAATTTAACTACATTGCCAAACTACATTCGAACATACTTAAAACCTATGGTACCAAAAAAAAAATGTGTCAGGAATTTTCATTAGGTTTTTTAATGATAAATTTCAACTGTACAGATCATGAATTAATACTGGTAACATGTAAAGAGACATTGACATTGTTAATTGCATGGCCGTCGATCAATTCTATCAAAATGTCTGTAATGTTGGTTTTCGTTATTAATTAGCTTTAGTTTATTCTTAAGGTAGCAAATAGTAGCAAATGTTTTTTTTTCAACCAACAAAATGTGTCCCTTATATTTTTGTTTATGATTAATTACAACATAAAAGATCTATGATAAATTATATAGTCAATATATCAATAATAATTCGTCATAATTAACATAATTAAAGAATATTAAAATACCATTATTGAGTTTTTCTAGGCGATGCCTAGCCACTTAACACCAGGTGTGCCGAATTTCCCTATTCACCTACACCAGCAAAAATATTTCTAGAAATCTTCAAGAATTTTTCTCACTCTCCCTTTTAAGATAACTAAGAATTTTCAGGGCTTTGTCCTCTCAATGAAGAGCAGAGGCAGGCCATCTTTGAAGCTCTGCACGATGCTGGATTTGGGTTCAACGACCGGATGACGCTTTGTGTTCGGAGCTGGCTTCACCGTGAACTTGGACAGGACGGCTGCCAAGCCTGCCAAGGACTGCATTAAGCCAAGGCGAGCACCTGCAAACGATACGTAAATAAATGTAGTTAAGTAACTTGTACAGATGGAGAAGGGTCAATTTAATCGGTATCATTGGCATCTTATTCACGAAATTAAAGATGTAAGTGTATATTAGAAGAGTCTCAACTGTGCCTTTGAGGTTTATAGGTATCAATGATTACGTTCGCTCTGAATGTGGTCAAACACTTGGTTTTTTATTATTGTTTTTTATTGTCTTACTTTTATTAATCTTTATGTACACAAGCCGCAAGAGACGATGTTTCAACTTAATCCAATAAAATTAAAAAAGTCGTGTGAATGCATTGACAATGAATAAAGAAACCCACAGACATTAATTAGATTTGCTTAGATGCGGTAAACCAGTTCCATGCAGACAACTAAAGTTTATTTTGATAAAAATGTAATTAAAGTGGGTCTTGTTTTTCTCAATTATATCACAAGGCGTTTTGTAATAATACTAATAAAAAAAATGTATTCTGTCGTTTTAAAAGAAAACCAGTCTTACCGATGCAACCACGAGGTCCATCGCCAAAAGGTAAGTAGACAAATTTCGTTTTGTTATGATTATATTCAGAGGGCATGAATCTTTCTGGTCGGAATTCATTCGGACTATCAAAATATTCTGGGTCATTGTGCAAGGCCTGGAGAGGTATGATTATACCTACGCCTTCGTCTATAGTCAAGTTTAACTCCGGGAATGTGTATTGACGAGCGCACTCCCTGATCAAGAAACCGAGCGACGGAAACATTCTCATGGCCTCTTTAAACGCACTCTCCAAGTATCTCATCTCTTTGATCGCATCGTAGCACAGCTTGTTGTTATATTTGGCGAGAACCTGATCTAGTTCTTTTTGCACTTTCTCTTGGATCTCAGGATGGAACGCAAGTTGATGGAGTGTGAAGCTAGTGGCAGACGACGAAGTTTCAAAGCCAGCTGCAAAGAAGATGAATACTTGAGCTGCTAGTAGTTGTTCTGTTAACTCCATTCTAATGATCTCAGGAGTGCCATCTGGTTTCATTTTCTCAATAGATTCCACTACGATTTCTCCTTTCATTCTACACTCGAGGAGTAAATCAATAAAATCGTTTCGACCAGATGGTTTGTAATTTCTTTGTTTTAATATGGAACTAACCAAACTCACAAAATCTGTTTCATACTTCGATGAGTACTTAAAATGTTTGAAAATCTCAGGGAATATCTCTTTGAGGGCAGCCACGATTGCTTGCTGAACAGTTATGTTGAAAATGGCCGCTCCAAGCTTTCTGAATGCTGAATCTTCGTCGTTCAGTGAGTCTGCATCGAGGCCAAAGCCGCAAGCGCCTATGAAATCTGTCGTGTAACGTGCCATTAGCTCTCTAGCATCTAGAGGTTGTGAAGCAATCTCAAGGGTCCGAGATTGAAGTCTTTCAGCTCTTTCCACAACCAGAGGAAACATGGCACGCAATTTCCCGCTGGTAAATGCAGGTGTCATACGTTGACGTAGAAGACGCCACAGATCCCCATCAGCGAAAAACAGGTTACGCATCAACGGCTCAATTACTTTTTTATGTGGATTCAGTCCTCTTGGATAGAAATACGCGAAGTCTGTTGTTAGAATTCGTTTTATAATATCCGGGTCTCTGATGATTAGTTCAGGCCTTGAGGATCTGAAGAAACCGATGACTTTTTCATTGGGGTATTTAAGATATGCATCCACAGCAGTTTGGGTCATGCTTTTTCTGAGTAGATATCCCTCTGAATCGGTGCCGAAGAAGGGTACAGGCTTATCATGTTTGATGCCCCTTTTCTCCCAGTACCTGAACGTTCTAGTTGAATACAAATAAACAAGAGCGACAATGATAACGAATATCGCGGCGGTGAGCATAGTGACGTCGGTCACCGCTGGCTGATTACGAGCGACTGAACAAGGACGGAAAGAACTGTTTGAAGACACATCAAACGAGATTAATTATATATCATCAAATGAGTCAACTGTTACAATTGAGACGTATCATGCGAGAAGATGTTGCATCAGTTAATTGCAAAAAAATTATAAATTAGTTGTGCGAATTTATAAGATTGCATTGGTTATCCAGTGATTGGGTACAGCGTCTGTTAATATTAAACTTTCAAATAAATCCTTCTCCATTAATGAAAAAACGAGCGATAAGTTATGCAGTGCATACTTGTCGATTAAGTACTATTCCTTCTACATTAACACACTGTAATAGTCCGTTTTATGATCTGTTTCTCCTGATTCCAAAACTCATTATTGTTGTGAGTCCAAATAAATTTCTCCGTCTATTATTTATCCTGGAATTCGTTGCTGCGTTCTAGTTTCTAGAGTAATATAAGTTGGTATTTCAATTCAAATGAGATTTCAACCTGATGTTCTCCATGTAACATGTACGCGACCTAATGTCGATTCTCATCTCATTAATGTTTGATGACCACTCTACCGAATAGAGCCTTTAAATGATTCGTCATCATATCATAATATTCATTACGTCGTAGTTGTTAGAAATATATAAAAGTCAACATTCAAATCACATCAATATAGCAATAAAAATGTATGCTCGATCATATTGTTTGTCATTTGCTTCAAGAACCCAAACGCTATACACCATGACCGTGATATTGGCTGCCCACCTGAGCCATAGGATGAAAATATATGCTATAATTATAATCTATTGAAATGTATGTATGCTACAATGTACATTATACAGTATACAATATACACTTGTGTATCATGGACTGATAATGTACATTATAATCGCTTAGGGGCTTGATCTAAAACTTCATTGTTTTTGTTGTAAGAATTTAGACTCTACACTCATAATCTGAAGATCGAGACTTCATTGATTAGCTAGATTAGGTGACGCTGTTTGTAGAGCCCTAAGTTTTGGGATAGTTTTAGGTGACTTCTCGTCTGGTTGAGACGTGGTGTAACTTTAAGCGGGCTTTGTTCTGATTTTCTTTAATTGATCTGTTTCAGCTCGCTTCGATTGATATATGCTCACATGAGGTCACGCACCGTCTGGCTTTAGTACTACCAAGTCTCAATTTAATCGTGTGGCGGTTGTGGGCTGTCTGTTGATCGAAGTATACACACTCTCAAATTTATTATTCTTAAATCCTTTCAGTTTTTTAACGGTACTCTTAAAATCATTTCATTTAAATCTCCTGTGACTATACGCTTATTAAAAAATTGTATCGGGAAAAAACCATTTTACGCTGTTGCTATAATAGTTTTGTAAGGCGTCTAAAAGATAAAATCGTCGTGGCCTAAAGAAGTCGTCGTGGCCTAAAGGATAATACGTCTGGTGCACTCGTGTCGAGCGATGCATTGGTGTTCGAATCCCAGGCGGGTACAAATTTTTCTAATGAAATACGTACTCAACAAATGTTCACGATTGACTTCCAAGGTGAAGGAATAACATCGTGTAATAAAAATCAAACACGCAAAAATATAATTTGCGTAACTACTAATGGTAGGACCTCTTGTGAGTCTGCACGGGTCCACTACTATGCCTATTTCTGCTGTGAAGCAGTAATGCGTTTCGGTTTGAAGGGTGGGACAGCCGTTGTAACCATACTGAGACCTTAGAACTTATATCTCAAGGTGGTTGGGTCAAATTTACGTTGTAGATGTCTATGAGCTCCAGTAACCACTTAACACCAAGTGGCCTGTGAGCTCGTCCACCCATCTAAGCAATAAAAATAATAATAATAAAAAGTTCGATGTCCTTGTAGATTTCATTGTAAAAATAGTCAAATACTATAGGAATTTTTCTATTCAATTTATAATAACATAATTATAATGAAGCAAATTGTAATGTACATTATTATGATGTGTGTTGAATGTACGTGTGATTATTATGTTTTGTAACAAAATATAGCTTGTTTTGAATATTAATTAGTCGATTGATGTGACTTGTGGTATCTATCTGGGGAGTAGATACCACAAGTCATATCGAATCAATATCGATAGTTCGCTAACAGTCCGACCCCACACTATCTCTGGCTCTGCTAGAAGGATAGTCTTCCAGTTCGTTTATAGCCCAATTATGTGAACTGCAATCGGCCGCTCCAACTTTCCCTAAACTGAGCCCCTCGTATATCTGAAACTTACACCGGGAGCACTGCATTACACTCCTAGTTGTAACTCGGATCCGAGTTCAGTTGTTGAGCTTTGAAATGGAAATTGTTGAGGAATTAAACCTGCTATGACTTGTTTCACTCGTCCTATTTAGGAAAAGGTTATTTCCAGTATATTTACATATAGTATGTGTTCATTTATTGAGTTTTGCATATAGGTATCATGTATGTACATATATCGTCTTGATTGATGTTATATGGCGTCGATTATGAGTGCTACATCGGGTATGGTGTGTGTCACATCGACACTGTTAATTGATAAAGAGCGTAGAGATAAAAAGGTGTCATAAATGTTTTGTTTACTTCGTTTTAATCGTTTTACTGATTCAAACGACTTTTCTTATTTACACGTTATATAGATAAATACATAACTAACAGATGATAAGATAAATATAAAAGATTTATATTTAACTGTAGGCAGCGGCTTGGCATTGCTGACATCCATGAGCGATGGTAACCACTCACCATCAGATGGGCCGTATGCTCGTCAACATACAAATAAATACATTTTTTTTTAATGCTTACATGGGTGGACGAGCTCACAGTCCACCTGGTGTTAAGTGGTTACTGGAGCCCATAGACATTTACAACGTAAATGCGCCACCCAATTTGAGATATAAGTTCTAAGGTCTCAAGTATAGTTACAACGGTTGCCCCACTCTTCAAACCGAAACGCATTACTGCTTCAGGGCGGAAATAAGCGGGGTGGTGGTATCTACCCGTGCAGACTCACAAGAGGTGCTACCATCAGTAACATACACATATCAATACATACACATACATACAAATAGATACAGAATAATATAATATGGGGTAACAATATGGGGTATTTGATAGTGCGATAAAGAAAATATCTTCCACCGGGCGAGTGTTTTTGCTCTGTAGACGAATGTTGCTCAGAACTTCAAAATATGCATAATAATATGGTTATCGTGAAAGTGTCGTAATAATGATTCAGATTTGACGAGTGTCTCCTATTCTATGATAGCTACTGTTATCGTTTAGTTTTTTGTATGGACCAATTTGGATAATCGAAACTAGTTTTTAGCCTAGTATTTTGCCAACTGACCGGCATAAACCTTCACATTCACCAATCCACTTTAATGCCTTACAATAATTACAAATTTTTGTCATTGGACTTAATTTTGATTCTTGTTTATAATCAACTTTAGGATCATACGAAAATCCACTATTTATTTTTACTATCCAAAGAATTTTTGATTTCATTCGTCGTAAATCTTCTTTCCTGTTTTGTTCTTTTTGCAATCTATTTTCCGTTTCATCTTGACTTTCACATGCACGTTTGGCTTTCATATACTTTGTTTTAGACGTTACCAAATTTAATTTGGACTTTCCTTTTTTAGGAATTTATGACTATAACAAATAGTTGGAAATAATTAAAAACATGTTTTTAATATGTTTTTAAGTCAGTCAATTGACATGTGGTAAACATTTGCTTAGGTTAGAAAAAAAAACAAACAAAGTTTGAATGCTACAGAAAAATAAAAAATTAATAGTTTAATTTATTAAAATTACTAATAAAAGTACTTAATGTGAAACAAGATAATAATAATAATAATCAATAATAAGTTTATAAAAACTGAAATTTTAAATTTAGGTTTTTCGATCATTAGCGCCTCCACAACGATTCTCATCATTAACGCCCCCGCAATTGGTGTAGGGAGTCCAATATTCATATAAATATTAGCCTATCCATTAAGTACATGTATTTTCTACATGAATACCAAGTTTCAAGTCAATCGGATGCATGGTTCAGTAGTCATAACGGAAAATCCGTAAAAACCACTGTAGATTTATATATTAGTATAGATATAGATATGTGCATCAATAAGCAATCTACTCTAAGCGATCCTAATCTATTTCGAACTTTGATTCTTTCTCTGTATTTCATAACATAATTTCCATGGGAAGTATTGTATAAGGTTATGGTCACCTTCATTTTATCGTTTGGTCACCATTCATTCATTCATTCAGTCATTGATCACCACCAGCCACCGAAATACAGTACACAGAGAGAGCATTTCTAGATACTATCTCGTTGGGTAATGCTGGCATAGCCCTCTAAGGCTACCAGCATAGGTAGGGAAAAAAAGAGATTAATTTTGCCACATCGTGGCCACACAGTCTTGGAATATTTCCTTAGTTATTACTTACTATATTATTTTAATCGCGAATCATTGTTCTCGGCTCTCTAGACTTTTTGGGCAACTTATCATTAAAACTTAAAATAAACCGAAAGTAAAGTTTGGAAGTAACTTGTTGTTGATTGTGTTACTAATAGAGCCTTCAGGTCAATAGCCTTGTCATTGCGTCTCAATACAGACAGACAGTGACAAGCGAAATATTCTGCGAAATGTTGTTCCTGTTATTCAGTTATTGTGTTGCTTGGAAATGGTTTACGAATNACTTTTTGGGCAACTTATCATTAAAACTTAAAATAAACCGAAAGTAAAGTTTGGAAGTAACTTGTTGTTGATTGTGTTACTAATAGAGCCTTCAGGTCAATAGCCTTGTCATTGCGTCTCAATACAGACAGACAGTGACAAGCGAAATATTCTGCGAAATGTTGTTCCTGTTATTCAGTTATTGTGTTGCTTGGAAATGGTTTACGAATATTAAAAAACTTACTGTAGTAGTCTTTTCGGCTTGGTGCGATTACACAGGGAAGACGGTCCAAATCTTGTTGTAGGGAACTTGTACATAAGGAAGATTTCTTGAAATTATCGTTAGTATGTCA